TTGTTATATTTCTGACCTTTTAGTCCCATACGCACCAGCACGTACCTTGAGATCCTCGGGCAGAGGTCTGCTGTCTGTTCCAGAGTCTCGACTGAAAACTAAAGGGGACAGAGCGTTTGCTGTCAGGGCCCCGAGGCTCTGAAACAGCCTGCCCGAGGAAATCAGGTCGGCTGAGTCAGTGAACTCTTTTAAGTCCCTTCTTAAAACATACTTTTATAGGAGAGCCTTTCCTGTTCTTATTTGACTTTATTTGATCCCTTTTATTTTATTGTATTTTACTAATTTTATATTAATTTTTCATGCTCGTATCTGGGTTTTTTTTGTATTATTCTTTACACTTGTTAAAGCACTTTGTAACTTGTTTTTGAAAAGTGCTCTACAAATAAAGATTATTATCCTGTTTGCCTTTGAGCGAGAACTAATAGGTAACTAATTCACCTTAGTTCTGCAAATAAAATGTGATTCCAGTGAAATTTATTTAGTTGTCTTTTATTATAAAATACAGTAAATATTTCTCTGTGAAGGAGTCAGTGTCAAATGTCTTTCCACATTTGAGATAATGATCAATAATGTTTCAAATATGTCATGTGGTCCTATCACCTTTGGCCAAGTGGTATACATTTGTTAGCTATAAATCCATTGTTTAAATTCAGAGAAAAATGTATAAATCCATAAAATGGAGGATTTGGTTTTTCATTATTGTAATTGATTGTTATAAATGTCACCGTAAAAATTACTATAAAAGCCATCTTAGTAACAAATGTGTTGATTATATTGGTAATGAGTAGAAGTTCAATGTTCACTGATTAATTTGAAAATCAGGAAATCAGCATGCTCGGGGCTTCTCAAAAAAAACAACAATCATTTCACGCTCAAAGTCACAGAGATCACACATTCATTCATTCATGTTCAGGTGAGTCTAACAGCTGCTGGAAATCACCAACACCTGAATCTTCCTCAGTCACAAATAAAAGACATAAAACAGCACTGGCTTCCATTAATAATCCAGAGATATTTCAGTGACTAAAAGTGACTCCAATCAATATTTTTATATTAACGATGGATCAAATGACAATGTGAAAGTAAAAGAGGTTGTTCATAGTGACAAACCACAGATAATTATCACCAGAGTTCGTTAGTTCAGCTTTTGCAGAGGCACTTTGGGTTCAGAATATCTGAGGGACATAAAGTCCAAGTCCAGGTGGAGGAGTCTCAATGTGTCTGCAGAGACTGTGTAGAAGGACAGAGCAGTCCAGATACACTGATGATACTCTTTCACACCCAGAGGAACACACAGGGATGATGGTGGACTTGACTTTGTGTCTGACAGTGGAGCTGATCTCAGAGCAGTTCAGACTGCAGCACTGTTGTGATTCCTCTGTCAGGCACTGCTGGATGAAGCTCTCCTCTCCACTCTACCTCCCAGTAACAAGGCCCAGTCAGAGCCTCTCCACACACAAGCTGATGCTGCTGCTTCAACCTCTCTCAACACCACTACCTTTCTCATCACAGACAGAGATCACTTCCATCTGATGAGAGAAGAAGACAGACAATAGAAGTCATAAATCAGAGTTTACAGAGAATCCCTTCATCACCAGTCAGTCAGTGATGCAGCACATGGTATATTACAAGACATATGTAAATATGGAGTCTGTTCTAAAAACATTTGGACAAAACCACATACACATGGATAGATAGATATATGATGTTAAAGGTCCAGCATGTTCATACAAATACTGAACAGCTAAACATCAGCTGTGGTTACTGGACTTCAGCAAAGGTTCTGGTCTGTAGAAAGACTACATGGTTACTAAATGTAATGATGGATCTCTGAAATAAGAGCCAGTGATTTGGCTGACTGTTCTCTCTGTCTTTCTGTCCAATCCTGAAGCCTGTCACTATTCTCCTCTCACAGCTTCACTGAGGAAAGCAGCCATTGAGAAGGTTGGAGGTTTACAGGAAATACTGGATCATTGCTTTGATACTAACTGTGTTTAGTACAATACTATTGAAACAAGCATGGACTGACTCCAACGCTCTACTGACCTCAGAGTCTCTAGTCTACAGTGTGGACTCTCCAGAAGATCAGACAGCATCTTCACATCTGAATCCTGCAGTTTGTTTTCACTCAAGTGCAGCTCTCTCAGATGGGAGGGGTTGGACTTCAGAGCGGAGGCCAAGGAAGCACAGCTGATCTCTGACAAACTGCAGGACCTTAAACTGAATAAAGAAAAAATTATGAACTTACTTTTTAAAAAGTGAAGACTGTTTGAAGTGGAGAATATTGATTAATATTGATTATTTATTTATGTTTTTTATCACCATGTATTTAAAAAGACATAATGTGAAAAATACAATGAAAAACAAGAGTTCAAGAGGTTCAGAGGGATTTGTCTAGTGTAGATTTTTCTTGTTATAATGAGGTTCTAACATTGCTCTGCCACAGTCAATGGACTAAACCACTTGGAAATGTACTTGTGGATCAGAATAATATTAGCCTTATATCCATCAGTGACCCGAATGTTACTCAACAACATCAAAAATATTTTCCATATTAATATGCAATAATCCCCATGACTCAGCCTGACTTGCAGGTCTTCAAAGAACGGAGGATACTCGCAATGATGTTGCTAAATTTTCTTTGAAGTTCATGTAACGTGACCCCCCCACCATTACTCAGTCTGCCTGCGTTTAGAGAGCACGTGCGAGCGAGCGAGAGAGCGCGCGCGCGCGAGAGAGAGAGAGAGCATTGCACACAGCTTCGGGGCTTGTCTGCGAGAACTGAAAGGTCCCTAGCAAAATTGTAATTAAAACATTTAAATATAAATGTTGTCAGTTAGCGTCTAATCAATGTACTTGCTACACAAACGGTTGACAGTCGCTGCAAAGTAGTGAGACAATAACATGACACAGCTGACCGTGACACAGATACCTGTCGCTCATTGTCACTGTCCCCCTCGCTCTGAGACACTTTTCTCTGTTTGTCTCTCTGCTCCAGGATGTTTCCCTCTGAAGCCGCTGTGAGCTGCACTTTATCAGAGGAGCTGAAGTTTACATTTGTGGGGATTTGTGTTGAGATTTCTGTCTGATCACAAGTGTTTTCAGTTTCTGTTTTCTACCTCTGATGAAGAGCAGTGCACTTGTCTCATCCATTACAGTCCCAGACGGGCTCTGTGTCTGTCAGACAGTCTACAGGGGGTAGCTTACTACCATATCAGCAGAACAATAAGGCAGGGTAATGTACAGCAGAGGGGCTGTTAGATTTTGTTTCTACCTAAATTCAAGTTAATTAAGCTAAGTTATCATTGAGGTGAAAAGGAGCCACATACACATTTAAAAATACTTTAGGCTACTTAAAACATGCCTGCATGTATGGAGACTCAGCAGGGATTAAATTAAATGAGAAAAGTTTATCTTAATCACCAGAATTCGGGAAATTGAGTGTTTAAAGCTCAAATTTAAGAAAGTGGGTGAAAACATGAAATATGCGCATGTCTGCAGTTTAGTGTGAACACAACTTTCACATCATGTTAATCTCAGCACAGAAGTAAAAAATGGTGTCTGACCTCAGAGTCTCCAGTCTACAGTGTGGACTCTCCAGAAAATCACACAGCAGCTTCACTCCTGAATCCTGCAGCTTGTTTCCTCCCAGCTGCAGCTCTCTCAGATGGGAGGGGTTGGACTTCAGAGCTGAGGCCAGAAAAGCACAGCTGATCTCTGACAAACTGCAGCGCCACAATCTGAATAAAGAATTAATGATGCAGATAAAAATCTATTTTATAATAGGTTTTCAATGTGTAGCTTAACATTACATCATGTCTCCCTTCTAGACATCATCCAAATGTCAGCACAAGATTCATACACCTATTCATGTCAACACAGATCGATAACATGCTGCTGATCTCATGCCAGTCTGGAATTAGAGGTGAAAAACTATAATAATCCTTTAAACAGCTGGATTTGGAAAATGCTTTTATCTCTCTCTTTGTGTGTTCTTTAGGATCAACAGTGATCATTAGTTTGTGAAATCACATAGAAATCAACAAAAAATATATGAATATTTCTACTTCAGCATAAAACTTTATCGATTTTAAACAAATATTAGTTCAGAGGATCTTCTGTATACAGATGTGACCATTTACCAAAAATTAAATATTAATTTACTTTAACAACTACGCACATTTTCTGCAGTTTCTTTAAGAAAGTCTTTAACAAGTATTTTGTGACTGCAGACGTTAGAAGATGCAGACACTGTGGATATTTTACAAGCACCGATCAGGTAAAGCAACACTGAACACACCTTTTAGGGAGGGACGAGCGCCTCAGCTGTAAAAGGAAAGAGGTGCGCTGGATTTATAAAACAAAACGAGTGTCGTTGTGAAACAGCACCCAGCACTATCATCGTTTTATCTTAATTAACTTGTTTTATAATTGGTGCAAGCATCTTCACGCAACAGCTGCAGCAGTCTCTCTACACTGTTTCGACCTGACCTTTCTTTTCTCAGTGAGATAGAGGAATTTAGAAAGTTGTGTGCCGCTGCGTCAGGGCCCCAGCTGTTGTGCATGATTTATGTGTAAAATTCATCCAGCCAGAGGGTCCGATCCCGAACGGTTCAGTGTGTTGATAGTAGGCCTACTACACAACGCATTGTAGGTACCGGAGAGGGAGTGGTTCGCTGGGGCATACAGGGCCAGGGGCAAGAGATTGTGGAGTGGCCGACCACGCTTCAGACAGTCGATGATTGTTCCCTCTTGCTGGAGGAAGCCACATGCTCCAGGCTATTTGAGCACAGTGCTATGTTGAAGCGCTGCGCAGATTGTTATATCATAAGTTATATTTGGGCATGGGGAGTGTCAAGTCAGCTCAAGTCCAAGTGAAGTCACGAGTCATTGGTGTTAAAATCAAAGTCCAGTCGCAAGTTTTCTTTGTTTTTGTCAAGTCGTGTCAAAAGTCATCATTTATGTGACTCGAGTCCACACCTCTTCCTGCTATAAATAGTAGATCAACTCTTTTAACACTACCTAAAACCCAAAAACCACAGCCATTGTGGATGCACCACCGTCCGAAAATATCAATCAGTTAAGGTCTTTCTTGGGGCTATTGAACTATTATGGACGCTTCATTCCAAACTTGGCATCACTACTGAAACCAGTGCATGACCTTCTACAAAAGGAGAAAGCATGGAAGTGGACGGCCAGCTGTCAGGAAGCTCAAAGGGCAAAAGATGCACTTACATCATCTGAGGTCCTTACCCACTTCAACCCATCGCTTCCAATTCAGCTCGCCTGCGACGCCTCTCCTTACGGTGACGGGGCGGTGATCTCTCACATTTTGCCGGACGGCATGGAGAAGCTGATCGCTTTTGCGTCAAGGACGTTAAACAAAGCAGAGACCAATTATGCTCAACTGGAACGCGAAGCTTTGAACATTGTATTTGGAGTCAGGAAACGCCATCAGTACTTGTCGGGGGTCAACCTGCTGGGGGTGATGTACACTTGAAACCCTTCCTTGGACGGCGGTCGGAGCGGTCTGTTCAGTCGGGCTGTTTGCTGTGGGGGAGGAGAGTGATTATTCCCTTGTCTCCGAACGCAAGTATTGCGACAACTTCACGCAGGACACAGTGGGATAGTGAGAATGAAGGAGATAGCGAGAAGCTACTTTTGGGGGCCAGACATGGACAAACAGATTGAAGACTTGCCAAAAAACTGTTCAACTTGTCACAAGGTTAGGATCAACCCGCCACTAGCTCCTCTTCATCCCTGAGAGTTCCCACAGGAGCCAGGGCATCGTGTGCACATTGACTTTGCAGGTCCATTTGAGGGCAAAATGTTTGTCGCTGTTGACGCACACAGTAAATGGCCTGAAGTGGCTATCATGAGGTCAACTACCACAGAAAAGACAATAGAGAAGCTAGGAGAATTTTTTAGTCGTTTCGGATCTCCAACACAGCTCGTCTCTGACAATGGGCCTCAACTTGTCTCAGAGGAAATGCATGCCTTTCTGCAAGCGAATGGAGTGCAACACATTAAGTCAGCTCCATACCACTCTTCGAAAATGGCCTAGCAGAAAGGTTTGTCCAGACGATGAAACATGCACTGAAAGCATCTCAAGGCCAAGGAACACTACATCAAAGATTGCACAATTTTCTGCTAAACTACCGCAGCAGTCCATATGCCACAACAAAGACATCTTCTGCCAGCCTGATGTTTAAGAGAGATCTGCGCACCACCTTCGATCTCTTGAAACCATCAGCAGTGAAGGACACTGTTCGGAAGCAACAAGAGAAGCAGATCATGCGAAGAGATCATCAGGCCAAGGACAGAGTTTTCACTTCAGGAGAAGTGGCCAGGAACTACAGAGGCGAATCCAAGTGGGTTCCTGCAACTGTTCTTGCACAAACCGGATCAGTATCTTATACTGTCCAAACCACTGAAAGTGTCTGGAGAAGGCATGTGGATCAACTCTTATAAACTGCTACCGTGCACGCAGAGCCGTTTCTTGGAGATTCGTCAGATGCACCTCCACACTCACCAGTTCACCTACCTACACAAGTGCAGAACTCCACTACTACACCAGAAACAAGCTTTCCAGTTGTGAACAAGACTGTGACACCTTCTTTTGCATCAGCATCAGAACCCAGCCCTCCATTGGAGTGCAAAAAGACTGATGTTCCTGCAGATCGCCGATACCCCACCAGGGAGCGCCGGCCTCCTGCACATCTGAATTATGAGGCAAGATAGTGGCTGACCCACGTCAACGGGGCAGAATAATCCCCATGGGTACAGTCAGGGAACAAGCTAGTCTACCCTCACCCCTAAGGTAGCACACAGAAACAGATATGAAGTTGAGTTTTTACTATAGTTACTAACTGTACACAGTGAGCTGGGCAGCAAAAGAGAGATGTTGTAATGTTCATGTTTTAAATAACATTATGTATGCTGTGGTCTAGGAATTTGAGTAGACTCAGTTTTTAATTAGGACATTTATTGTAAGAGGGGAGGAGATGTGTATTTTGGGCTACAGTGAGATCCGTAGTGAGATACGCCTAACGGATTGTGGGTAACCTTCAGTCTCTCTCGTAGTTGTAATGAACCATGTTGTTGCTGTGACATGTGTTGTAACAATAAACTGTTAATGTTACGTCGTAGTCCGGGGTATGATTGTTATATCAAGTAACAAGAATAGGGAAGGATATAACACTACCAGTAGAAGAGTTAGCCCCTGAACAGGAACAGAAAACAAGATGGCATGGTGATCAGACACAGCCAAGTCAACAGACTGGAGATGGGAGGGGGTTCTACCAGAAGAGCACACAAAGTCCAAAGCATGAACTTGGAATGGGGCCCTTGACATGTTGCATAAAATTAAACAGCCCAACATCAGTGGCAAAACAACAGCTTCTAGAGTCAACATGGATGTTAAATTCACCAAAAAGAATGTTAGATGGAAAGATGGGGCAGTTGAAGGCGAAAAGGTCAGAGAGCTTAGGTAGGAACCTAGTGGAGGATGTAGGGGGCGGTAGACAAGGACCACCTGGCCCCAGACAGCACAAAATGGACACACTCAAATGTAGTGACATTAACTTGGAATTTATTGACCAGGATATCAGCACAATACCCTTAAGTTCTTAAAATAACTTCAGCACAGAGAAAGCAACTGAAAAATAAATTGTGACAATTTGGAAGGTTATTAAAACATTTCCAGCGACAAGAGCAGCAGATCAGCTGCAGGACTCACGTCTGTGTCGCCTGAGTGTCAGAGGAAGTTGATGTTTAACAAGCTTGATTACCTGTTGTAATCAGCTGTTCCGCTTGTTTTGAAGAACAGGAGACCAACTTCGGCTCTTCATTAAAACTTTCTGACGGATGAAAACTTAAAACAACAACTCTGGACCCAGTATCTAGCGTAACCCCATCAGCTGTAAGCTCTAAACACACCGCTGCAGGCTGGCTGTTATTTCCAATCCATTCAATGCCAACATACGATCTCATCAGCAAGACGTGTGTGCTATCTGACTGTTAATTGTGATTTATTGGTTTGCAAACAACAGTGGAAAAGAGGAGCAGTCATAGAAAAACAGCCTACATTCACCAGTTAAAGCCAGTAGCTTCTACTCGCCCATTCAGAATTTCACTGCAAGGCAAGCCCCACCCCCCAAAGTACCGGTACTTTCAGAAAGCACTTCCCCCAAAGCAGGGACTTTTTAGGTGGTAAAATGAGGACCCCAGAACTACATTTAGACACTGGTCCCTCCGGTGGAACAGTGAGTTCCTCCAGAGGTTCCTAGTTCCGGGGTAAAATTCCTTTGGTCGAAACGCAGCTTATGATGACCTTGCCCCTGTAAGGTATGACACCTAGTAGCTAATAGCTAGACTAGCCGGAGATGTATCCATGTAAATGAACTTGTGCCTGGCAGTCCTATGCACATAGGGTTGGCAATGCAGGAGATGGAGATATATAATGTTCTCTACGCAACTCTGACTGATGTGTGAGCTGAAATTCAGCCACGGAATATTAAAGAAGAACACCTTGCAAATAGCACTCTAGCTTGACAGGTTAGTCCAAAGCCATGTCCCAGAGAGACCAGAGCAATGCCATGGAGGAGACAGCGGGGATAGCAGTGCAGACCCAGTAAAGGAAAAGAGATCATATTCCTTCTGTTTTAGCTTCTCTGGCTGGCTCCCTGGAAAATTTATTAAGAATTCAAAATCCTCTGGCTCACCTACAAAGCTCTTAATGGTCAGGCACCATCTTATCTTAAAGAGCTCATAATACCTTACTACCCCACCAGAGCACTGTGGTTCCTAGAGTCTCCAAAAGCAGTACTGGAGCCAGAATCTTCAGCGGTCAAGCTCCTCTCCTGTGGAATCAGGTCCCAGTTTGGGTTCAGGAGGCAGACACCATCTCCACATTTTATAGATAAGGCTGAAGTACAGTCTAGAACTGCTCTATAAAAAAGCGCAATGAGATAACTTCTATTATATATATTGAATTTAACTGAATTCAATTTAGTAGCATAAGACAAAAATATGAATTAAAGGAAACTGAGAACAAAATGTATGTAAGTTATGTATAAACATAAATTAAGAAAACATAGGATCTACAATAGTAACAGAGAGTCAGTGAACTGACCTCAGAGTCTCCAGTTCACAGCGTAGAGTCTCCAGAAAATCACACAGCAGCTTCACTCCTGAATCCTGCAGCTCATTTCCACCCAGCTGCAGCTCTTTCAGATGGGAGGGGTTGAATTTCAGAGCTGAGGCCAGAGAAGTACAGCTGCTCTCTGACAAACTGCAGTCCCACAATCTGAATAAAGAATAAATGATGTAACTTTAGAAGACAATGTTCCTGCTTGAAATTATTCAGTGTTTAATAATCTGTTCACAGATGAAGGTTTAGAAAGTAGAAGTTTTGAAAATGGAAATTCCAAACATCTGAACCCAACAGGATGCAGGTTAACTGTAAAATACAAAAAAGGTAAAAAAAATAAAATAAAAAAAGAGCTCTCATTAATATTAATGAAAACATGCTGCTACTTCAATAAAGACGTTGTGACTTCACCTCTTAAACTCTGCAGCTCCACCAGTGGCTCCATCTATACAAACTCATGTTGTGCAGCCAAACACAAATAAAAACCAACAGAAACTGATTGAAGATTCCACTAAAGATCACCAAAGTTTCCAAAGATGCCAGGATTAATTTTGGGTAAATTTGAACAAAAAACATCTACAATATTTCTTTTAGGAATAGTGGAGTCATAAAATGAAAGCCTCTTCAGTTTAAACTACTCCGTTAGTATAAGCATCATACAACTTCATAACAATGTTGGAAAAAGCAAATACTGAATATATTTTGTTATTGTCTGATAGTTGAAATAAAGATTATTAATTTATTGTATTTATAAATTTAATTCATTAAAAAAAAACATGAATACAAGATGAAAATCTGGTGTTTAAGAGGTTTAGAGAGAATTATCCAGTGTAGATTTTTCTTGTTATATTAATGGTTTAAATGTGGAGCTCAACATTGGTCTTCCACTGTCAAAGGACTAAACAACTAAAGAGGAAACTTTAGACTTCAGCACTAAGATACTCAGTGTGGATCAGTATAATATCAGCCTTATTTCTGTACTTTAGTGTCACCACAACTTTATCATATTAATCTCAGCACAGACATAAAAAAAAAAAAAAAAAAGGGTGTCTGACCTCAGAGTCTCCAGTCTACAGTGTGAACTCTCCAGAAAATTGCACAGCAGCGTCACTCCTGAATCCTGCAGCTTGTTGTTACTCAGCTGCAGCTCTCTCAGATGGGAGGGGTTGGACTTCAGAGCTGAGGCCAGAGAAGCACAGCTGATCTCTGAAGTGCAGTCCCACAATCTGAATAAAGAATTAATGATGCAGATAAAAATCTATTTTATAATCCAATCAGATGTGTTCAGGTTTTAAATGTGTAGCACAACATTACATCATGTCAGCCTTCTACAGACATCATCCAAATGTCAGCACAAAATTCATACACCTATTCATGTCAACACAGATCAATAACATGCTGCTGATCTCATGCCAGTCTGGAATTAGAGGAGCTGGATTTGGAAAATGCTTTTATCTCTCTCTCTTTGTGTGTTCTTTAGGATCAACAGTGATCATTAGTTTGTGAAATCATATAAATAATGTAACTTAAAAAGACAATGTTCCACATTCAAATCATTAAGTGTTCAATAATCTTGTAGTGAACAACCAGTGGACACTAATTATTTTATGCCAAAAGGGAGAACACAGTCATATCCCTGCAATTTATACTGCTGCGTCAAATCAACAGCGTAGGCTATGGGGCTACGCAGAGGCTACGCCGTAGCCTGACGTGTACCTCCTCGTCAAGGCGACGCGGACCGTAAGCAGTGTGATTAGTCTGCTGGGAAACCTCGCAATGCCTCCGAGCTGACAGGAAGTGCCTGTGCTTTGAAGTAACTTTTACTATCAGCCAAAACAGCGGCTGTAACACGGTGGATCAATATATTTGACCGTCACAATACGAGCGAAATGACTCGTTTCACTATCAGAATGAGATCCACTTGGTCGATAACATTTGAAAAGGCTACACCAGCCGCACGTATACAATTTTACCTCCAGTCCTGTGTTCTCGGCCAGCAAAAGTCAATACAGTGGACGCTGTAGCGCTACTGCAAACTAGTGTTTGGTGGTGTAATTGCAGAATAATGGACACACCTACGCACAAGTATAAATGCATGGCTACGTGGGTAGCCTACGGCTCTTCACATATACACTCACCTAAAGGATTATTAGGAACACCTGTTCAATTTCTCATTAATGCAATTATCTAATAAACCAATCACATGGCAGTTGCTTCAATGCATTTAGGGGTGTGGTCCTGGTCAAGACAATCTCCTGAACTCCAAACAGAATGTCAGAATGGGAAAGAAAGGTGATTTAAGCAATTTTGAGCATGACATGGTTGTTGGTGCCAGACGGGCCGGTCTGAGTATTTCACAATCTGCTCAGTTACTGGGATTTTCACGCACAACCATTTCTAGGGTTTACAAAGAATGGTGTGAAAATGGAAAAACATCCAGTATGCGGCAGTTCTGTGGGCGAAAATGCCTTGTTGATGCTAGAGGTCAGAGGAGAATGGGCCGACTGATTCAAGCTGATAGAAGAGCAACTTTGAAATAACCACTCGTTACAACCGAGGTATGCAGCAAAGCATTTATGAAGCCACAACCTTGAGGCGGATAGGCTACAACAGCAGAAGACCCCACCGGGTACCACTCATCTCCACTACAAATAGGAAAAAGAGGCTACAATTTGCAAGAGCTCACCAAAATTGGACAGTTGAAGACTGGAAAAATGTTGCCTGGTCTGATGAGTCTTGATTTCTGTTGACATTCAGATGATAGAGTCAGAATTTGGCGTAAACAGAATGAGAACATGGATCCATCATGCCTTGTTACCACTGTGCAGGCTGGTGGTGGTGGTGTAATGGTGTGGGGGATGTTTTCTTGGCACACTTTAGGCCCTTTAGTGCCAATTGGGCATGGTTTAAATGCCACGGCCTACCTGAGCATTGTTTCTGACCATGTCCATCCCTTTATGGCCACCATGTACCCATCCTCTGATGGCTACTTCCAGCAGGATAATGCACCATGTCACAAAGCTCCAATCATTTCAAACTGGTTTCTTGAACATGACAATGAGTTCACTGTACTAAAATGGCCCCCACAGTCACCAGATCTCAACCCAATAGAGCATCTTTGGGATGTGGTGGAACGGGAGCTTCGTGCCCTGGATGTGCATCCCACAAATCTCCATCAACTGCAATCCTATCAATATGGGCCAACATTTCTAAAGAATGCTTTCAGCACCTTGTTGAATCAATGCCACGTAGAATTAAGGCAGTTCCGAAGGCAAAAGGGGGTCAAACAGTATTAGTATGGTGTTCCTAATAATCCTATAGGTGAGTGTATGTGTGGAACTGAGGCGACCACAGACGGGTGATAAAATGCTACAGCACTTTGTGTTTTTGAAGAGACACCCAATAGTTTACCTTTTACAGACTTAAAGAAATTCTATGTATCAAAAGTACCAGTGGAAAAACAGGTAAATGGTATGGTACAGAAATAGTATATTAATATCATCATGTATTACATAATCCATTTTTCCAGTTCCTAGGACTGAAACTATAAAGTTTAATTAATCAGATATTTTAAGGTTCCCTTTATGAAACCAGTTTTCTCCAAAGACAAGAGGTAAAACATGCAGTGCTCTTAACTTCATCTCTTTGTGCTCATTTATACATTCCTGTCTGTGTTTATTGATCAAACTGATGCCGTGCTTCAAATACCTTATATAATTTCTTATTAAGAACGAGTAACAATCAATGTTGTCCTAGAAATTGTTTAGTTAGGCTGTTCTGTTCATCTGCTATGATCACTATAACTTGTGTTGTTTAACTGTAACAATTCTATGAATATCAATTCTTATGAATAATTAACTGCAATAGCTTTTGTCACATTCAGTGGTGTGGAGGCAGGTAGTAGGACCTAAATGCAGGACACGAAAGCCGGCGGGTACAGTTCAGTGAATTTGTTAATGGCAACAAAAAGCGAGCACACTTACAGACTGAGTGGCTGATAGACTAAGTCCAAAACAAAGGTTGCCCAACCGAAAACCAAAATGAGCAGGGAAACGCGACGAGTGGGGCTGACAACAGGAGAACACACTGCAACACTGGATGATAATAAACAATGACCCAACAAAGACAAGACAGAAACACCAGGTATATATACACAGGGACTAACGAGCAGGGCGGGAGCAACACAGGTGACAGACATGAGGCTAACGAGGCACAGGCAGGGAGAGAGAGAGAGAGAGAGAGAGAGAGCAGGGGAAAACAGAGACAGACATGCAGAGGGATCACTGGGGTAACAGACATGACAAAGGTTACTGAACACTAGACGACAGACAAGGCAGAACCCCAAAACCCAACAGACCAAAATAACAGATAATAACGCTGACTAAATACAAAAGTACAAAACACAGCATGGCAGACAGGCAGAGTGTGACAGCTTTTCCTTTCCTTTTTTTCTAATGATTAGAAACTAAGAACTGTATAACTGTTTATGGTATTTAAGAAAAGTGTTGATATTGTGGAAATATATGTGATAAAAAACACACAAACAGACTTTAAGACATTACTTTAGATTAAAGTTAAAACCACAATGGGTGACTTCCACCACAACATTTACATAAAATTTATCTCGGCACAGAAGTAAAAAATGGTGTCCGACCTCAAAGCCTCCAGTCTACAGTGTGGACTCCTCAGAAAATCACACAGCAGCTTAACTCCTGAATCCTGCAGCTTGTTGTTACTCAGCTGCAGTTCTCTCAGATGGGAGGGGTTGGACTTCAGAGCTGAGGCCAGAGAAGCACAGCTGCTCTCTGACAACCTGCAGCCCCACAATCTGAATAAAGAATACATTTGAAAAAATATATATTTTATTATAAATAAAAACACATGTGCTCAGATTATAAATGTGTAGCTTAACAACACTATGTGCTGGTCAATGAGCTTTTCCCTGAAATAAGTAGAGTGACTTTGTCATTGTGGTTTTGTGGATCATACAAATGTCAGCACAACATTCATACATCTCATGTCAACACAGATTAATAACTAGCTGCTGATCTTACCTACTACTAGGTTACATAATACAATGATCCTTTAACAGCTGCATTTGGACACAACCTGTCCCTCTGGTAGGCTCTACAGTGCACTGTACGCCAAAACCTCCTTAAACTGCAGCAAATTAATCATTAATCAAGAATAGGAGCAAACAATTTTTTTGCTGTGCGAAATGTGGTATGAAGAATGAAGGTTGAGTTATTGTATTTTGTTTGGTAGTTATGTCTATGAATGGTAACTAGGGATATGACAGAAAGTCACTGTACTCTGTACATTGGAAAACAAACCTGTAAGAAATAAATCAAGTATTGGAAACATTGGACATTTTATCATATATTGCACGCGTCTTAAATAATTCAATCAGCAACTGTAATAATGGATCGTTTTTATTGGCAAAGGGTCTCTACACTGTCTTAAAGGTTAAATGTGTAAGATTTATTGGCATCTAGTGGTAAAGTTAGGAATTGCAACCAACCGTAGTCTATCACTTCCTCTTTGGTGGTTTTGCCAGCAAAATAAAAGACAGAGAACATTTTTTGCAGCAATGCTTTACCTTGAGATGAATTGAGAGCTTTTACTTTGAAAAATTCTGAACGACATATTGAACGACAAAAGAGTCTGTAGCCTGCTTGACACATCTCTGAAAAAGACTTTGTAGTATCCAATATTTATGGTACCTAACAGATACCTAAACATATCCTATATAAGCTATGTTTGATGTACAGAGAGACAGAGTGGCTATCGGGCTGGGTCACTCTCCAAGCTGCTGCAAAGCTTGTAATTGATGCTGAACTCTTTGATTTAATAAACTTTTATGATCAAGAACAGTGTCAAGCAGGTTTCTTCTCAATAAATCACCGCAGCATTATTGTTCGGACAGCACAACGAAAGTTAATTCCCCTTCCCCCTAATGTCTTCTGCCTGGAGATACTGGGGAAATGAAAAAGCGTTCGTAGATTGATGGATGCGGATCCAACACTAGAACACACGCACACTGCAGCACATGCTTTATTGTGAGCATGTGACATAGTCGCTTCATAATCAATTTGTTGAAGAGACGCCATGTTGAGTTTTTGCAACCAGTGGCACCAGAAGTAACCATACACCGTGTGTGGAGCTAGTTTGCTTGCTTAGCTAGGTGCTAATAAACTTATCAGGAAAGTGTTTACTGAGGTAATAAATAAACTGAGAAGTAGGGTCATTTTACCATTATTTCTAATGGAACCAGACTTCTTTTTGCAACCAGAAGAGTCGCCCCCGGCCGGCCGTTAGATAGAATGCAGGTTTACGGGACTTCAGCTTTCGTTTTGTGACCGGAAGATTCCATTCTAATCTCAGGGCGTCCAATGCCAATGCCTTTTAAGTAGTAATAAGTAAAAAGAAACTTTCCTGAGTAACTTGCTCAACACTGGTCACCAGTCATGGCCAATCAACCAGTGCATCTTTAAAGAGGAAGACTGTGTCTGTGTTTAAATATTATTGCCCAGGACAAAAAAGCTAAAAATGCTAGCCTATGTAGCTAACATTGGCCTAGTTAGCAGTGTGTCCATGCTTCATAAACAGCTGCAAATAAAGTAGCTGCACAGATTTAAATAAAAGAGAAAAAAGACAGGTAGAATAAGTTACTGCAAAGTTGAAGAAGCCACCTCCCTGGCCAAGTTAAGTCCACACTATGAGTTAATAGGAATTGGTGCTATACTTGTCTGAATGTTTCTGTGTAGAGGCTTCAGCAGTTTAGTGATGTAACATATGCTGTAAACTGTTAAAATAAAATCCCTCTTTTCCCCTCACACATCTCCTGTAGTGATTCTGTGGACATCCTGCTCCCTGCAGATCCTCTTATCTAAGCTCAGGACATTCCTTTGCAACAAACGCTTAGTATTTAAAACTGTCTTTATAAACATGTTTCAGTAGGGGTTTGCCCATCATTTAGATGGTAACCAATTTATTGAAGTTACACATTGCTGCAAGTCCATTGTTATTACAGTTTTAGACAGACAGCCTTTGAATTTGTACATTTTTTTTCCCAATTAAAATGCAAACACATGGAATGATGCCGCCAGTGTCATGCCTTTTCTTTCATCCTGTTCTGGGCCAATTTCAAAATCAGTTTTTTTTAATCAATTCTGTAAAAAGATAACTTGATAGTGTGCGAGCAAGCTTTGAGCAGTTGCGAGCACGCAGGTAAAGTTGGGCTTGCGCTGCTCATGGGACTGCATTTGTGCATGCAAAGCAGAAATGCGCCCTTCGTCCATTCATCATCTTCACTGACTGATGGAGTACAATGTGACTCTGTGGAGGCTGAAAAACTGTCCTGTCAAACATTTAATTTCCCTACTTTTTGTTATTCATTGGCCATTTGGAAAGACAGGAATAATCTTCAGCTAATTTCAGGCTAATCCTGAAAATGTATGAACCAAAAACATATTAGTCTTTAGTCGGGGGTTTGAATTGAATATATACAAAAACTACATAAGCTACAGTCAGTGAACTGACCTCAGAGTCTCGAGTCTACAGTTTGGACTCTCCAATCCAATAGACAGCAGCTTTACTCCTGAATACTGCAGCTTGTTGTGACTCAGGTCCAACTCTTTTAGATTTGAGGGGTTGGACTTCAGAGCTGAGGCCACAAATTCACAGTGAGTCTCTGAGAGTCCACAGCCAGAAAGTCTGTCATAACACATTGCAAAATATTTTAATATGAGAGAGGATAGTTTATACTTACTCTGTAGATTTGATGTCACATTGTTTGACATGTCCTGTTTTGATTACTTTTGGATATTAGTGGTTCAGCTAATCTTATCTCACTGTGTTTGACATGAAACAATATTTCTCATGACTCTGTCTCATACCTGTGGACCTTTATTCTTTGTTTTCATTCAATCTTGCAGATGACATTACTGAATCAGTTTGCTGATTTGATTGCTATCTTCCAAAACTATCCAAATCTTTGTTATATAATCCACCTTTATCCCATTATTGTCACTTGTGGCCACAGCAGCTGCTTCAGCAGCTCATTTTAAATAATAATAATAATAATAATAATAATATACAGTACTTTTCACAAACTATTTTAAAAGTGCTTTAAAGCTTTAAAAACAAAAATATATCCAGAGCAGTTGAGGATCTGCAGCCATACTGACATGTACCCTGCTTCTACTGAATATCTCGAGCTAAGCAAGTTTGGGCTTGGCTTGTACTTGGTGGGACATATAAGTCTTGCAATTTGGAATACTACTTTAAGAACAACATGAATTAGTGTTTTATTTTATATTTGAAAAACTAAACTACAAATTGTATCTGGACTTACAGAGCCTTTCTGCAGTTCCTCACAGCTGGAATCAGTCTCCATTGTCCCTTCTCTGATGTGTTGTACTTCTTCAAGTCAAACGTATCCAGAACCTCCTCAGACATCTGCAGCATGTAGGCCAGAGCTGAGCAGTGGATCTCTGAGAGTTCCGTCTTTGATCTGTTCTCTGACTTCAGGAACTCTTGGATCTCCTGATGAACTGAGTGGTCGTTCATCTCTATCAGACAGTGGAAGATGTTGATGCTTCTGTCAGGAGAGATCTTATCACTGTTCATCTCCTTTAGGTTGTTGATGGCTCTCTGGATGATTTCTGGACTGTTGTCTGTCTGACCCAGCAGGCCTCCTAAGAGTCTCTGGTTGGACTCCAGAGAGAGGCCATGAAGGAAGCGAACAAACAGGTCTAGGTGGCCATTTTTACTTTCAAATGAATTCTCCATTGCTTTCCTCAGGAAGACATCCAAGGGTGTCTTCCCCAGGAAGTTCTCCAGTACCTTTGTGTTCTTGTTGGTGTAACAGTGGAACATGTAGACTGCAGCCAGAAACTCCTGAACGCTCAGATGAACAAAGCAGTAGACTGTTTTCTGGAGGATCACACTCTCTCTTTTGAAGATCTCTGTACAAACTCCTGAGTACACCGAGGCCTCTTTGACATCAAGACCACACTGCTCCAGGTCTTCTTGGTAGAACATGATGTTTCCTTTCTCCAGATGTTCAAACGCCAACTTCCCCAGCTTCAGAAGAACCTTCCTGTCAGCCTTCATCAGCTCCTGTGGACTCGTCTCATGTCCCTCATTATACTTCTGCTTCTTCCTCTTTGTCTGAACCAGCAGGAAGTGTGAGTACAGGTCAGTCAGGGTCTTGGGCAGCTCTCCTGTCTGGTCTGTAGTCAACATGTGATCCAGAACTGTAGCAGTGATCCAGCAGAAGACTGGGATTAGACACATGATGTGGAGGCTCCTGGAGGTCTTGATGTGTGAGATGATTCTGCTGGACAGCTCTTCATCACTGACTCTCCTCCTGAAGTACTCCTCCTTCTGGGCGTCAGTGAAGCCTCGTACTTCTGTTAACCTGTCAACACATGAAAGAGGGATCTGATTGGCTGCTGCAGGTCGGGAAGTTATCCAGACGAGAGCCGAGGGAAGCAGATTCCCCTTGATGAGGTTTGTCAGCAGCAGGTTGACTGATGACTTCTGTGTGACATCAGACACAACCTCATTGTTGTGGAAATCCATTGAAAGTCTGCTTTCATCCAGGCCGTCAAAGATGAACAACAGTTTACAGACAGCGAGCTTCTCTGCTGGGACCTTCTGTAATGTTGGATGGAAAACATAGAGCAGCATGAGAAGACTGTGCTGCTCATCTTTGATCAAGTTCAGCTCCCTGAACGAGAGCAGAACCAGCAGACTGACATCTTGGTTTTTCAAGCCCTCTGCCCAGTCCAGAGTGAACTTCTGCACTGAGAAGGTTTTTCCAATGCCAGCAATGCCGTACGTCAGAACCACTCTGATGTCTCTCTGTTGGCCAGGTAAGGTTTTGAAGATGCCGTGGCACTTGATTGGAGTTTCATGGAGGGCCTCAGTCTTGGAAACTGTCTCAAGCTGCCACACCTCATGTTGGGTATTAACCTGTCCCTCTGTGATGTAGAGCTCAGTGTAGATCGTGTTGAGGAGGGTTCCACTTCCTGTTTCATCAGTTCCTTCAGTCACACGTTCACATCTCCTCTTCAGACTGATCTTATATTCATCTATAACCTCCTGCAGACCACTATCTGCTGAAAGAGAAGAATAAATGTGAGACAACAGAAAAGGATTTTGAGAATCTGGGAATAAATAACAAAACATTTTTTAAACGTACTGTCTTACTTTGTACAGAGCTGCTCTGACTGGCTGTCTGCAGTCCAGCTCTTGTTCTCAATCTTTCTCCACACTGGGGACAGGAGGAGTCTCCTGATGAAGCAGACTGGTCCCAGAATGAGGTGATGCACTGTCTGCAGAACCAGTGTCCACAGGTAGAGACTTGATCCTTCAAGACGTCCTGACACAAAGCACAGCAGGACCACTGCTTCTCCACAGAAACATGACTTCCTTTCTTCTCTCTGTAAATACATTTCTTTATAATTAAAATGTCACAGTAACATGTCGTCATTTGTTTTTTGATGGGCTGCCAACCACAAGAGGGCCAGTCTTATGTAATACGAGTTGGCCTGAGGGCCCAGAGGACAGAAAGAAAAGAGAAGATGTCCGGGCTGGCCCAACCTCACAGTTCAGTGGACAACACTGAAATTGGTAAAGAAATTACATGAGTAAGCACTGCTTTCAAGTTTTATGAATCTGGCCCCTGTTTACTTTAAATATGTCCAATAACAAATCATCTTCAGGTCAGTTTACAGTAGAAACAGTCTCTTACTTTGTGTCTGAGGGTCCATGTTCATTACTGAAGACTGGAGGAATGTCTTTGGACCGGTCACTCTTCATAGAAGGACAGCTGGACACTGTAGACTCTGCTCTCTGTCTGTTGCATTGACCAAAATAATTTTAATAATATTATTTAATTAACGGATAAATTATATGATGACAAAGCATCAGTACTCTATGAGTGCTTCTCAAGTCTCTTAATTGCATCCACGTTTCCTTCACTTGCGTCTTTTCCAAGCCAGGAGATAAGGAACGAGGAAATATGTTTTTAGAGACATGAGACGTCCTTTCCTCCAAAGCATTACATGAACCGACCCTTTCTGATGACGCCGGCAGCTGATCACAGCTGTACAGACTTTATGTTTTATGAGTTTGTGTCTGCACACATGTGCACAGTGTTGGTACTAATAAAGTCTCAGTTATCACTGCAGAGCAGCATAATTCTCTCTGTAGCTGTTTCCTGTTTAACAAACACATGCACATTGTTTTTATTTGCTGATTCTGATTGTGAATTTGTTATTGAATAACCCAGAATATGATGTCTTGGGATTTATTAGGCTAAAGGTTTAAGAGAAATTGAAATAATTTAACTCTAAGTCGCTCAGTTTTAGGCTTTCAGTTTATTTCCTTCTGATATCCTTTAACACTAACCTACTGCATAGGCTACATTAAATTTATGCACGTCACATCACTCCTCACTGATCAATAGCAATCCAACGCTTTTTTTGCCCTTCGGCTTTCGTCAGATGCCATTAGGTGAGATCGGCTGGATGTGCAGCTTTATTTTCCTTTGCTTGCTTCATTAGAGACTTTAGTGCAGTTTAGTGACTTGTCCAACTCCTAACTTGTTTACTGTTGTTGTATTGTTTAATGTTTTATCGTCGTCTATTTGGACTAAACAACCAGCCTTACATTTGACTGAATAGAAATGACATAAATTATGTAAAAATTGTTTCTTGCTAACGGAATCTCCGACTCTGTCTGACTTTAATTGTGTTCACAATAAAAGTTGATGGGAGAAATAACAGAAAAATAAAATCTTTCTAATAGGCTATATGAATAAAGTTGTGTGTGGGACTTTTGATGTTCAGACCTACAATGAACTCAGATTCAAACTAGACAGTGAATCATAAAACAAATAAAAAATAAGACTCTGCAGTGATAAACTTGAGTTTAATGTTATCTGTCAGTATTTATCGGTATTTGTTCGGCTGCAGTGTCCAATCAATATGATGGCGAACCAATAAGGGGGCGTGTCGGTCAGTCAAAGACTTCCGTGAAGGATGCACTGGTGAATCCTCGCTCATAGCTCCTCAGACATTGCTCCTCGATCCTCGCTCCTCGCTCCTTGAGGCGCAAATAAGAGCTGGGATGGACTGCAAGATGGAATAACTTCCGGCTCAAGCGAGGATCAAGGAGCGAGGAAATGACAAATAAGAGACTTGAGAAGCACCCTATGTCTACAGTTAACCTCTGACACCTGCAATTCATCACTTAAACTGTAAAATGTGTACAAATATGTGAAACCCAAATTTATTAAGGTTAACCAAAACTTTGTTCCCTTCTTATGTGGCTGGGTTTGTTTTGCTTTTTGTTAAACCTGTCCTGCCCAGCAGCCTGGGATAGGGTATGATGAGCTGGATATTATATTGTGCCAGACAGAGATTACTTTAACAAGAGAGTATTAATATACTCCTTTGTCTGTTTTATTATTTATTTAATTATATATTTATTTGTCACCAGGCCAGACATGGGGGCAGACATCGCACAGACAGCACAGACAACACCAACAAGAGCAGCGCCCGGACCGACTACCGCCGTGCAGGTCACCATGCACCTCCCAATAAAAGTCTGCCATCCCCCAAGCCACTGGAAAAGTGAAGGCTGCCGCGCCAGCCAACATCCCCCATGCACAGCACTCCCCCAGGCTGCCGTGCAACGCCAGCCAAACGAGCAACGAGGCAAAATCAACTAGCCCAGCTGCATGTCACCACGAACCCACCCACCCGTCAAGGGAATTCCAGGCACAAGTCCAGAATAAACTGGAGCACAGCATTGCCCCGCACACACACTGCATATCTCGAAAACGTCTCGGGTTACGTATGTAACCCTGGTTCCCCGAGAAGGGGAACGAGACACTGCGTCGGTTACGACACTATGGGAACGCCTCTAGGCGTAGCAGGTCTGAACGTGAATGAAATCAATCCAATCCTATTGGCATGTTGCTAGAACGGTATGGTGTGACGGAATAACCGGAGGAGTATAAAGCACACCTGTACACACTCATCATTAGCTTAAACTATGAAGCAGGCGCTTCAGGCGGGGAGAGAGGTGGGGCGGGCCGACGCAGTGTCTCGTTCTCCTTCTCCGGGATCCAGGGTTACATACCCGAGACGTTCCCCTTCGAGTGAACTCGAACTGCATCGGTTACGACACTATGGGAACGAGATACCCACTAAACCGTGCCGAAAACCCCGCCTGCCCCAGTGTGCAATAAAGTGGCACGACTAAGAGGAGAGCGCACGAGTGCCAGGTGCCGAAGGAAGGTGAAGACTGTAAAACTGAATGAATGTGTGCGGAGTGGCCCAGCCAGCCGCTAAACAAACATCCTGCAAAGAGGCCCCGGAAAGGAGGGCTCGAGAAGCCGCCATGCCTCTGGTAGAATGAGCCCTCACAGCCACAGGTGAAGGCAAACCGCGCACCTGATAGGCCAGGGAAATAGTCTGAACAATCCAGTTGCTAATAGTATGTTTGGATGTAGGGAGCCCAGCCCTGGGGGACCCAAAACACGCTAGCAGCTGGTCAGCCTTCCTCCAACGGGAGGACCTCAGAGTGTAAATACTCAGTGCTCTGACAGAGCAGAGCAGATGAAGTCTCCCGTCCGCTGCCGTGACATGAGGTGGAGCCCTAATATTCCCCGGGGCAAACTCCAGGGTTGCGGGGAAACCGAAAGCGCTTGGAGATCCCCCTCCCTCCTCAGAGAGGTGATAGCAAGGAGAAAGGCCATCTTGAGGGTCAAGTGCTTAGCCTCAGCTGACTCCAGGGGTTCGAAGGGGGCCTCAGCCAACGCCCCAAGAACCACCGCCAGATCCCAAGTGGGAACCTTGGACCGAGTCGCAGGTCTCATCCTCCGGGCACCACGGAGGATCCGTGTGGACGGGGCCCTGGAGCTGAGGAGGGTCTCGACTGCTCTGGCTGTTAGACCCGCCTCTAGGTACTGTACCCCCTCAGGGGCCAGACCCACAGTTGCCATATGGCGGGGCAAGGGTGAAGAACCCGGCCCTGTGGCTGGGACAGCAGGTCTCTCCTGCTGAAAACCATAGCGTGCAGTGCGTAGTCTCTTGAGACGCAAACAGATCGACATCTATGGGGCCGAACTCTTCGCACAAGAGCTCCACCACTTCGGGGTGAAGTCTCCATTCCCCGGGCCTCAGCCCCTGCCTCGACAGCAGGTCTGCTCCCTGATTCTGCGTCCCTGGGAGATACATCGCCCTGAGCGATAGTAACCTCTGCTGGGACCACAGGAGGATCTGACGCGCCAGTCTGTACAGAGGGCGCGAGCGCAGACCGCCCTGGTGATTCAGATAGGCCACCACCGCTGTGTTGTCGGAACGAACCGGGACGTGGTGGCCTTGGAGATCGGGCAGGAAACTCCTTAGAGCCTGGAACACCGCCAACAACACAACAACAAAACTATCGAACGGGCAGTCTTCAAATAGGTCTCAGAATTCCTCTCACAGAATGTCCTCCTAGATCCATATAAGTCTGGTTTTAAGAGTGGCCACTCTACTGAAACAGCTCTGTTGTCTTTCACAAAAAAACAAGGCTCGGTGCAAGGGCCCCTTCTCTTCTCAATTTACAGCACCTCAATGGGGCTGATCATTTGCTCGCATGGCTTCTCTTACCAATGCTTCGCAGACGATACACAACTCTATCTATCCTTCCTGCCAGACAATTCCAGCATTTCTGCATAGATCACGGACTGTCTGTCGGACACCCTCAACTAAACCTCTCTAAACTCTTGGTCATTTCAGCCAAGCAATCTATCCACCGTAACATCAAACTACAAATTGACTCCTCAACCACCGCTCCAACCAGGGTGGTGAGAAACTTGTCATGATTAATGACCAGCTGTCCTTTTCAGACCATGTTGCTGCTGTCTCTCGGTCTTGCCGATTTGCTCTATATAACATAAGATAAAGCAGGCCCTACCTTACTCAGGACAGCTTCTCTTATCTCTTGCCTCGACTACTGCAATGCCCTCCTAGTGGGTCTTCCAGCTTGTGCGGTGAAACCCCTACAAATGGTTCAGAACACAGCTGCGCACCTGGTTTTTAATCTGCCCAAAAAGACTCATGTCACTCCAGTCATTACTCAGGTAACTCTCCCTGTGTTCAGCTCTAGAGATCCTTGTGTTTCTGTCTGCTGCTCTGCTCACAGAAGAACTTTGTTAGATACACAAAGCCACTCTCCCCCCACACCTGAGGACATTTTTCCCCTGGCCCTGAACTCAGCCATACTTACTGCTGTGTTTATTGTTGAAAACTTCCTGAACTGTCTCCTTGTGTGCATCTGGGTTCTAGCCAGATTCCTGACAAAGACATTTCCACCGTAAATTGGAGCAGAATGTTTCTCCAGAAATACAAATACGGAGCATTTACCCAGATTCCCCTTCTCATATGTCAGCATTTCCTATTTCTTCATAATGTTAAAAATCTTCTCATCTTGTTCTTGTTAATTGTCACGTCTCATGACGCCCCTAATCTGAGCCCTTATGTCACCACCACTTTTCAACACAAAGTGTGACACCAATGTTGTTACTTGTTAAAATGTGGTGAAAACCATTCCTCAACAGTTTTCAAAAGATTTGTGAGACAGGGACCAAGAAAGGAAGGGGGCCTACACACCCCTGCCTCTAACCTCTAATCATCTTCTTCTTCCTCACAAAATCTCTTGTATTTATTGCACTTTATTTCATTAACTCATACTTCTTTCCCCATTGATACCATACATGCTTTTAGCTACTACTAGTATTTATTACTGCTCTTACTAGTATGTATTTTCAGTTGTAGATCTCTTACTGTATTGATG